TTTTTTTTTTCTTTTTTTTGGCGTTATTTATATATATTAAACATATATATTTAAATAATAGATAATTAAAAAATGTATAAATATTAGAAATTTAATTAATTAATTTCATATATATTATTATATATAATATTAATGAAAAAATATTAATAATATATTATAAAGAAACAAATATATTAATATTTAAAATATATTAATATGTATACTAATTATTAGTTTAAAATTTTTGATTTAGGCTGATGAGTATGTTGCCGAGTTCGAGGGTTCTGGACCCCGACACACATCCACACGTAATGTGAATGCTTCCGCTCGGCGGGAGAGGGAACGGATGCTCCTTCATGCTCGCAGGGTACAGACTGCCCAGGCTGGTAGTTCGAGACATCTCGTTGCTCCGATACTGAGTGGTCAGCAGTCTGGCCCATTCATGCCTGGCAGTTCGAGTGGTCAGCAGTCCTTGTCAGTGATGTCTAGCAGTTCTGGACGTCGCCCGACTATACGTATTGTTCATCGGCGGGACTCCACTTATGAGTCGGCAGTCAGGAGTCCGGGGGATGATCATCATCATCATCATGATCACAGATTCACACGAATGAAGTGCTCGTAAGAACCAAGATGAGCTATTACGATCTCACAGTCAGGTCGTGTACCCGTGGATGGTGCGCGGAGCGGCAATATCGTCATACTGGTCATGTTCATATTGTTATCGTTGGGACCATAGCCTAACAACACGACAACTGCATTAAACAGTGTAGCAATAGCAAAGAGGTCGCCCGTAGCATTCGTCCAATGCTCCTGGCCACAAGGACCCCCGTCCCATCTTATACGATCGATTGCGGCGTCGACCCAATGGAGCGTACAAATGAATGTTGGCTGCTCTGTATGTAGCTGTGAACAACATAGGGAATCCTACCACAATGTAGGTATTGAAAGAAACCCGTCTCGAAAGTATCTATAATATCAGAATAATTTCACGTCACGGTTTAGGTAATTGAATTTACAAACAAAATTAGTCATCGTTCAGATAAAAAATAAAATAAAATTACCTGTCGGATCTTGAGACGATGAGCTTGTTGGGGCACACGAAGAAGTGCTTGTACGACCCACCGGATGACCTTTTTCCCTGTACTCCCACATTGACGGAGCACACGAAGAAGTGCTCTTATGCCCCAGTCGACGACCTGTTTCCGTGTACCCCGATTGCGATGGAGCACACGAAGAAGTGCGTTTACGCCCCGCCGTACGGCCTCTTTCACTGTACTCCCATCTCGATGAATCGCATTTTGTTGAATTTTTCTTCTTGGGCCGACCTCTCGGATTTTCCTTCACTGCAGGTTGTGTATCCCTGTTGATCAGAGTGAAGTTAGAGTCGATGAGATGGTTCAGGTACCATACAGTCGCAGGATCGACCGCTTCAACCTCCTCGGCAAGCCTCCGAAAATAATTATGATCAGTCCATCCACTCGCTGATGCACTCTGCTGACATGTCCGTACCGAAAATCTTATACAATATGCTCTATCAAAAATTCTATAAATGAAGCAATACGTGGAGTAAAAAAAAATTAAACAAAATTTAGGAGAAAAAAAAAATGCTGAGCATGATGTTCTATAGATTTATTAATCTCGCAAATATACCTGGCTGCGTCACCTCTAGTGTGCTCCAGAACTGTGGATTTCGTCGGGCGTAATCACTCTACCTACAGTGTGTGCCTCCCTTAGCTCACAGGCACAAAGAAGTCCATGAGTGTATTTTAGTGCACAATCGCAGCGCTTCGAAATATCTTTGCCGAAGTCTCGCATCTTCTGAAGCTCATCATTCAATATATCCATACAGTAATGCGAGACCCGCAGTTTCAACTGCTCGAAAGGGAATCCCCAATAGCCCATAATCATCCTAAGTCTCGAAAACTTCAGCGTCTCCCTGGTAATACAGTACATAACATTAGACCCAATTAAAATTTATAATTAATGCATTAATAACACATTCTGACTGTATAACTTAAAGAATATACCTGATTTGAGTGTCAGTTGAGAATCAATCTCCTTGTCAATCTTCTCCCAAACCGTGTCGAGCGAACCGGTCGACGTGTTAAGCCACCGCTTCAACATAGCGTGGGAACTCTCTACCCTACACGACGTTGTGTTGCTAAAATGTAAGACAGTGTCCATCCACACTTTGACAAACTTCTCCTTGTGCACTAGCCATGTCTTATCCACATAATTCAGCACACGAGGAAACGGCGTGTATGTAACAGCCATATCAGTTACGGTAGTTTTGTATTTGTCCCACGTGTTCGCCTCGACAGCCTTCTTCCACTTGTCGTGTGTGAACTTCTGCGCGGAGATCTTATTTTTCGACGTTATTCAATAGACCCTGTCTTCCACATCCTTGTTGATGTGCCACGTGCAAAGTAAGTGGGGCGTCGTCGGGAAATTCCTCTGAATAAGAGTAATTAACCCCAACTCCCTGTCACTGACAATGACTGAAGGATGTACATCAGGCCCAATCAGAAGTCTCAACCGCTGTAGGACCCAGTCATAGCTGTACTCGGTCTCGTCCTTGATAATTGCATAAGCAATTAAGAAGTTCTTGTTGCACCGCGTCATTCCAACCATCTCAACCAACGACATGTGGTACCTGTGCAAATGAAAGCAGCAAGAGGAAAAAACATAGAATCAAAAAACTTACCCTAACATATTATTTAAGATTCACATTATATTTCTAGTTATAACGTAATGTAACATACATGTTGGTTTTGTACATGGAATCTATACCGACATACCCGTAATATGTCCGGAATAGACTGGCTGCTCGTGGATGTGACATGAACACTCGTGTCAACGCCTGTGTGTCCGGGTCAACATCTGTGTAAACTATGTAATTGCTGCCCCTAGCCAAATGCAGAAGTTGGCCAGCAACATCTCTACCCTCCAGACAGTCTTTTCGCGATTGACCTCTATAGTTATACACTTGTTGGCAAGTAGCGTTGTCCACAGGGTTTTGCTCCTGAATTGCAGCCAATATTGCTCCCGGTCTTGCCTGAGCATCACTCATATCACGGACAATCTCTTTGGATGAATTGGTGAGTCGGCTCATTTGGCGATGACCCTCGGGATGCACAGCCAAAGCATGATTATGAAATCCCTTCACGTCTTCTAAAGGAAGCCAGATACTCCATTTTTGGGAATTTGCTCCAAATTTGACTTTTATCAGAAAAGGGCAGCCAGTAAATTTAGTCTTCGAACGTCTCAAAACAGCATTCACAAAATTTTCTAGTTTTCCTGTCTTGCCTCTGTAACGTTCCCCTCGATGACACCTCAACATCCGAACCATTCCATCTTTTTCGTGTCTCGAGATGACCAATTCGAAATTCCATATCATTGCAATGTTTTTTGCTCATTCAATAGCAGTCTCATGACTACCAAATAGCTCATCTGTAGCGAAACAACATCGGTAATCTTCGCCGTCTCCTCCAAAATCTTCGAGTGGCACCTACAATATGTTACGATGTATGTTAATAATTTTACAAAATAATGAATTATAACTTCTCTCAAAATAATAATAGTAATTTGTAATTTATTATATAATCAATTCTAACTTCTAACGTAATATCAATAAATTTTACGTTATAAGATAATACATTCATATATATTAATAATTTATACTAATATAAATTTTTCCTATTAAATAATTTTATACTATTAATTTAATACTAAATACTAATATTATTTTTTTATAAATACTTTCTATTAATTATATTAATTACTAATAGAATTTTTAATATATATTATTATAAATTATATTAGTATATAAAAAAATTATATTAGTATATAAAAAATTATATTATTAATTACTATTATAATTTACAATAATTACACTAATTCCAATTATAATTTTTAATATATATTAATTACAATTTTTTTCATTAATTAAAAAATATATAAAATATTAATATAATTTTATTACTAATTATTTTAATTAATTTAAAAAAAAAACGCAAAAAAAATAAATAATTTTTAAAATGTAAAAAAAAAAAATACTTGTGAATTGGAGAGTCCCTTCCCGGTGCGTGAGGATTGTCCCGCCATTTTTTCGGATTTTTTTCAAATTTTTTGATTGAGTTTTTGTGTTTTTTTTAAGAAATCTTTTTTTTTGTAAGTTGTGTTGATTGATCTTTTTTGATTGGCCACATTCATTTTGTTTTAAGAATTATAATTTTTTTTAATGTTAAAAAAATGAATTAACAATTAATTTTTTTTTATTATTTTTTAGTAAGGGCAAAAGAGGAATATTTGGGTGCGGTAAATAGCAACACTCTTTTCTAAACTTCCCCACAAGTGGGAAAAAAACATGCTTCCACGAGTGGAAAATACCGACATGAATAACTCAATGATTTTCATGCTAGATGTTGGCCTCAATTTTCCAAACCCAGAATTGGCCGAGCTCATGATAATAGTTACAACTTATTTATAAGCACAACTTTTTACATGAAGTGGTTTAACCGTTAGGCTGATTAACTCGTCATATTTTTTAAACAAAAATGTATATCTGTATTATGAAATGTCATACTTTTTATTCATGTTATTTGTTAAAATATAATATTTTCAAAGTATGTGAAATGAGATAACCACACTTGGTCGACTAGACCGGAGAAGCAACCAACCAGAATCGATCTCATTATCGGGTCGCAGGCGGAGATGGGATTGCTCAAGTCGAAAGATCTTCTGGTCGAGGAAATCACTGAAGGCCAAGAGGTCGAAGGACGTAGGAAGAGGCGCCTAGTCGCACAGGGAAACAACATTCACTATCGAGGACATCCCAACTCGAGGTAATTGGGGTTGAGTCCATAATCGAGACACCTAATAGGGAAAACTTAGAGATAAGAAGGAATCTTAGGAGAATTAAACCCTTCACATGGGCAGAACCACGTGGCACCACCTGAGTGATCCACGCCTCATAACCGCCTCTGACAGCCCGGATGACTCTGACAACTCTGATATTCAAGGCAGCCCACACGCTCGCTATTGGAGAGCTCACGCGCCCGCCTTGGGCCTTAAGGTATCTTCTCCCTATAACAGGGAGTGAGGTATGTCTAAAATCACATTACTATATCTGATATACTTAACATTTTCCAGAGAGTTTTTTTCTCTGCACTTCATCTTCTATACTTACTTACTTAAGCATCGGAGGTTCTTCACCGGAGACTCCTTCCGGTGTGAGAGTTCTGCAGGTTCGAGAAAATTCAACCAATGATTCGTTCGAGTTCCAGGTGTTTCTAGCTCATTCTAACCGTCGGAAGTCTTTTCGATACCAGTATACATATTTATTGAAAAAATTATGATTTTACAACCTTTATTTGGTAGTATTAAAATAGTTATAGTTAAAAATTGTGAAATAATTATGAAAAAGTGGCTTTTGCTAGGACCGATTGACCGAAGCACCCTTTCCTTCCTATGAACCCAATAACCCAGCTTAATCTTTGCCCTAATTTCTCTTTCGCCCAAATTTTGGCCGCGAGATGACTTTCAATCATTAGCAGTTGGATCAGAAATGGCTTCAATTTGGGCTCTACACGTCCACACATCGCCTTCACTCCCTGTAAGCTGTTAAACTATCAGCTCTACCACAAACCAACCGGTTTCCAGCTTCCATTTTTATTTTAGAGGCTCACTCTTGCATCTTGCAATGCAGATACGAGGTGTTTCCAACGAACTTCAGCTTCGGTCGGTATTGGGAACAAATTTCAATTGTGCGAACTGTAATCGCAGAGTGAGGTTCAGAAAATTGGTGGCCAGAGCTGTTGATTCCGGCGAGGACAGGAGCCTCCAGAACGACGTCGTTGTTGTGAAGCTGGAGAGAGACAATGCCAAAAAGCCTCTGGAAAATGTAGTTGCCAAGTTGCGAGAGTCTGTTGGCACTCTTCCTGTGTTGGTGTCATCGGTAATTTTTGCTGCCCGCCTAAGCTTCATCTTGTTCCTTTATGCCTGAGCCAGTCTAAAGCTCGAATGTGGGGGTTTATGCACATGAATTTAAGAGGATAGGGTTTCACTGTGAAGTTCACGATTTTATTGAATATACACAAGCACAGCCTATATAGTTGTTGCATTTGGGAATAATATTTGGTCACAAGAATTTGTGAGGCAGACGTTAGCTTGGTTAACCCGTCATCCTATTCCTAACAAAAAATGCATAATTATGCAATGAAATGTCATACTTTTGTTTATGTTGTTTTTGTAAAGTATGCATTTGTGAAAGTATGCATATCTGTTGTTGAAAAAGTATAATTGCTTAACCGGTAGGCCTTAGTAGCTTTATCCTTATTTAATTTAAATACAAGAAAAGGGAAAGAAGTGCAGCGGTTTGAGATGGAAAACCCTCTTAGTGATGTCTTTTCTACTCGTGTTTAGTGTCGTGAACTAATGATAGTCCCTCCCCTGGTATGTTAAGTGTAGTGGTTTGCTTTCAGAACTGAGACTAGGTTGTTGAACAATTGAGGTTCGTGTAGTTTGACCAGATTATTATTTTAACAGTTTAGCATTATATCATATCTGTTCTCGGTTCTCCATCATCTTGAGCTAAGTGCCAGTTTTGACTCTTTCTTTTTTAATCTTTGCTCCTTTTATT